AGGCATTTTATGACTGGGCTACCACAGGTATCCCAGTAAAAAGACGACAAAAAACAAAGGCATACTGAAATAGTGCGCTCAAGTCTGGCCAAGGGCATACACCTATTTCAAAACATAGGCATGCTATGCGTGCAAGAGTTCCTTTTTTGTAGGGTGGGTGGATTACTTGAAACATTGCGAGTGATGTCTACATTCTTACAAAAGGAGAGAAGAATATTAATGTGGGAAAGAACGAAAATGTCGAATTACCTCACTCACAGGTATTTTGTGGTAGATTATGTGTGTTTTGCGAATAAATGTAACCAAAAATAAACTGTATTGGTGCCACGGATACCTGTTAGTACAAAATGCAGACAGCAGACTGCAGACCAGATACAAAATATAGACTGCAGACTGCATAGTGGGTACAAAATGCAGACTAAGAATCTGAAGAGTTTTTACGTCTGGTATATAATAACATGTCATCTTACAGCTTACCGAGCGTCACGCAATCGCTTTTCTGCAATCCGCCTTCACGATTATTTGCACTATTGTGGAATATTCCTGGCCCATTTCTTGATTAAAATCGATCGCAATATTATTTAAAGCCTTCAATATAGTCTTCTTACTTTGCGCGCGAGTTGGTTGGTGTGATGTCTGTACAGATTTTATCAACGTAATAAAAGTAGATGATGTGAACAACACTGATGGTAAAGCAAGCTTAAAACGGCAGAAATCGCCAGAAAACACAACGGATACACAGGGTATAAGTTTTATTGATTTTACGAGAAAAATGTTCATATTTCGAAATATGTATCGTTGTAAATCGACAATACTTCGTTCCCTGTACTATTCCTTATAACGTGCAGTTCCTCTCGTAACTTAACACCGAGTCACACAACGCGTGACGCGTTCATGAAGTAATCGTTGGCTTTTTCTCGAGACGTGAGCTTGGGCCGCTTGTGACAAGACAATTGCGCAAACAATATTTAACATAACAACATTATACACAAAAAAACACAGGGTTTTGGATCACGTATTTATTAAAAAAGGATTTCCATACAACTACAATGAAAACAAACATAAGATTCACCTTTCTGATCGTGAAATTAATACCATTTGTACTGTTATCGTAGCTACGTTCCTTGCCATCAAGTGAATCCAACATGTCGTCTTTCTTCACAAGCAGTTTGCATCCATATAGTTATGTTCTTCAGTCTCACGGTAGTAGCGTTGTTCAATAGATTGCATAGAGTATATGCAGTTTGGTTTCAGATTTCAGATTTTGCTTTTTACAACAAGTGAACGTTTTTCAACTAAGACATTGGCATACTTAGCATACAAGGCATTCAAGGCTTTCATGGCTTTCAAGCGTTCGCGAGTCAATCCGTTCCAAAATTACCGCTCAGTAACATCTTTCAGTGTGGATTAGCCGCGATTAATACGACTGGTATATGCGTCTGTAAGTATTTTGCGCGTTTGCGCTATAATGCTCTAGGAGATCGCAATCCAAATGCGTTGAAATGCAAAACAACTGACGAAAGAGTTTTATAAGCAAAATCTCGTGTTCGTCATGTGACCCGGTCCTGTCTGTGTATGACAACGTCAATCATCATCAAGATAACACGCGTGATCAGTATGTGAACACCTCATTGGATCACAGTTAGTTGTCATGGTGTTGAGGGCCCAATGACCTCTGGGTACTATTGCGCAATTTTTCCATTTTGTGGCGGAGGGAAAAAAAAAAAAAAAAAAAAAAAAAAAAAAGACGACAAAAAAACAAAGGCATTTTATGACTGGGCTACCATAGGTACCCCAGTAACAAAGGCATTTTATGACTGGGCTACCACAGGTATCCCAGTAAAAAATGTAGTCTCGCTTTATAAAGTTTCTCATTTTGCAATCGGCGTCACCGCCTTCTTTCGATTATGTGACCTCTGCGTTAATTTCAAAATCGACTTGATTACTCGGCATTTTTACGAGGGACCGGCGTCTCCTCAGGGCACACCAAAAGGGCAACTAAATGTCATCTTTTAAAAATAAATTAATTACCCTGCCTTAGAGACCTAAGCAGCATGATTTTTGTCTTCGTTCAGCCGTAACGAACAAACGGCTTCTTCATTTTTGTAATGTAGCAAAGGCAGTAACAAAAAACTGTTTTGTTACTGCCTTGAAATTGTGAGTTTTGATTTGAGGTTACTGTCAACAAGATCCGGTCAAATTTCCAAACTTTTATTTCATTTACTCTTTATTTAGAGAAAACACTGAAACTAAATTTGCTGGGGGAAAAAAAAACTTTTGTTCCATACTTTATAAGTTTTTCAGTGATATATAGTTTTTATGGTTTCTTTGAAAGTAGGGCGCGTAGAACGATTTTTCGAAATGTTTTTTTCCAAAATGTTTCCTTGTTTCCTTACATTTCGATGTTTACTGTGCATTTCGTTGCATATTTGTCGTCTTCACTTGAACTCCCTCGACGAGGCCGCACAGTTCATGATCATCAAGGCAGGCAAAGCGCTAGTTCCTCTTTTTCTTCCTTCTTGTTCCTCACTGAGGAGGGGGGACGGAAGCCAAACCCCAGATCAAAATTTAGCACATTTTTCTTCAATTCCGATATTTATCACTTATACTTGAAATTACTTTGCGAGTATTGGGAAAGCTGTGAGTTTGAAATATTTTCAAATTGCGCCGGTAAAGATTAAAAGTGTGACGTCCCAACAAGCGGTGTTTACATACTCTCATCTAAACTAACCAGTTGACCTATGAGAGCGTGCGAAC